AGTCATTGGTGCCTGGAGCAACGAGTGGATCCCGTATGTGCGCCTATAGCTCCTTTGTTACGTTTCCTCACTGACCTGTACACCCAAGGCTTCGCATACCGAACCATTAATGTTTATAGATCGGCGATTTCCGCAGGACATAGAGGGATAGATGGAACCCCGATGGGGCAGCAACTGCCGGTATGCCGTCTCCTACGGGGAATTCGGTTTGCTCGTCGCCCGCAACCCAGGTACACAGCATTATGGGACGTCACTTCAGTCTTACAATTGTTGGAATCTTGGCCACACAATGATGCACTCTCGCTTAAACAACTGTCAGCAAAATTGACCATGCTTTTGTGCCTGATTTCCTGCAAGAGGGTGTCGGATGTTAGAGCACTGGATGTTACGGCACGCTCCTTTACCCCCATGGGAGTCTCCTTCAACATCTCCAGGCTTACTAAGTCGGCAATTACTTCAGTTTCTTATCCCTCGTTCCCACATAACATCAAACTTTGTCCGGTAGACTGCCTACGAGAATACGAGAAACGAACCTTGGGATTCAGGAATCCGATGCACCCGGAATTATTTTTGGCTATCAAATGACCTCATCATCCGGTATCCACGGTGACTCTCGCCCGGTGGGTGAAATGGGTAATGGCGATGGCGGACATAGATACTGCTGTCTATGCGGCACACTCTACCCAGGGGCGCTATGGCATCCAAAGTTTTCAGTTCGGGCTGTAGATTGGAGGATCTTTTGAGAACAGCGGATTGGTCGCGTGAGTCGACGTTTAAGGAATTTTACTTTCGACCCACAGAGCACGTTTCCAGAGTAGTTATCTCGCAGCTTTAAACTTGCCTAATATGAGCCTCCGTGTCCTTTAATAAAATTACCAGATTTTACTAATAACATGACGTAAAGTCATGATTTTATAAAGGACACGGAGGCAAGTATTAGCCCACCGGATCAGAAGCGCTTGGAAATGGGTATCCCGGCCCAGGTACGTAATAGATAAGGTATTGGTGGGAGTGATCATTGGCTCAGTTGGGTTTTTCATTTAATATGACGGATGAGTGACGATTGTAGGTTGATATGTACAGGATTACATGACTAGTTCGCTTTTTGTAATGAGTGATGAAATGAAAATAGTTGGCTAGGACACATTTTACCATTGTTTTTTCTTGTCCTTTTCAGCCTGATTGGTCCTCCAGATACGCATCGTTGAAGATGCCGGATCACGCAGTTAAAGACGATGTGCTCCGGAAGTTTTTTCTGTTCTGTTTCGTTTGTTACAATGAAGTTATAGTTTGTCGCTGTTGAGGACTTTGTAGCTTCGGCAACATCAAGAAAGAGAAAGAGGAGGAGGATACAGGAGAGGATATGAGAGAAGGACTGTTCCTATTGGTGGGAAGTTGGTGATGTAATGTTAACCCTGTGAGGGTAGTTATGCATGTTTTCTTTTTTCTATACAAATAAACACCTTAGCTTTTTCTTTGCTGCTGAGGAAATAAAAGAAAGAGAGAAGCCTAATACTCGCCTCCGTGTCCTTTATAAAATCATGACTTTACGTCATGTTGTTAGTAAAATCTGGTAATTCTTTATTCAGTTAATTAATCTATAAGTCTTGGCATTTCGTGCTAGCAACACTTTCTCAAGACCCTATGGATGAAGTATTCCTCCCATACTCTGAGCCCTGTTAACGTCTGGAGGCTGTGCTCTGATCCCTGTCGATATTGGCCTCCCGTACTCTGAGCCCTGTCAATGTCGAGCGCTTGTACTCTGAGCCCTGTCGATGTAGGCCTTCCGCTCTCTGAGACCAGTTGAAGGTGGCCTCCCGTCCCCGGAGCCATGTCGATGTTTGCCTGCCGCCCTCTGAGCCATGTCGATGTTGGCCTCCGGCACTCTGTACCATGTCGATGTTGGCCTCCCATATTCTGAGCCCTGTGGATGTTGGCCTCCCATATTCTGAGCCCTGTGGATGATGGCCTTTCGCTCCCTGTACACTGTGAATCTTGGCCTCTCATACTCTAATCCCTGTGGATGTTGCTTGCCCATACGGAACACAATGAAAAATGCATCATAGAAGGCTTATGGCATACTTTTTTGCAGACACTAGATTAACATCCTATCCAACATTTCATATTGACAGATACGGTCCCTTTCATTATACAAGTGTGTGAGTGGTGGTGTTGCCTTGGGCAGGGCTGTTCTGAGCAGTTTTAGGCGACTTACTAATAATTTACGGAACTAGAATGTAATTTAGAAGAATTTACGCACAGTGAGTTCTAAACACATTTATTTTAACTTAAAGACACATTACTGGGAGTAATATTGCTGTGGAGCTCTGTTATACACTCATACGCTACTGGGAGTATTATTGCTGTGGAGCTCTGCTATACCCTCACACATTGCTGGGAGTATTATTGCTGTGGAGCTCTGTTATACACTCAGACACATTACTGGGAGTATTATTCCTGTGGAGCTTTGTTATATCACATTACTGGGCGTATTGTTGCTATGGAGCTCTGTAACTGGGAGTATTATTGTTGTGGAGCTCTGTTACTGTGAGTATCTATTGCTGTGGAGCTCTGTTATTAGGAGTATTATTGCTGTGGAGCTCTGTTACTGGGAATATTGTTGTGGAGCTCTGTTATTGGGAGTATTATTGCACTGGAGCTCTGTTACTGGGAGTATTATTGCGGTGGAGCTCTGTTATTGGGAGTATTATTGTTGTGCAGCTCTGTTACTGGGAGTATTATTGCGGTGGAGCTCTGTTACTGGGAGTATTATTGTTGTGGTGCTCTGTTACTATGAGTATTGTTGTGGAGCTCTGCTACTGGGAGTATTATTGCTGTAGAGCTCTGTTACTATGAGTATTATTGTTGTGGAGCTCTGCTACTTGGAGTATTACTGTTGTGGAGCTCTGTTACTGGGAGTATCATTGCTGTGGACCTGTGTTATTGGAAGTATTATTGCTGTGGAGCTCTGTTACTGGGGGTATTATTGCTGTGGAGCTCTGTTACTGGGGGTATTATTGCTGTGGAGCTCTGTTACTGGGGGTATTATTGCTGTGGAGCTCTGTTACTGGGGTATTATTGCTGTGGAGCTCTGTTACTGGGGGTATTATTGCTGTGGAGCTCTGTTACTGGGGGTATTATTGCTGTGGAGCTCTGTTACTGGGGGTATTATTGCTGCTGTGGAGTTCTGTTACTGGGGATATTATTGCTGTGGAACTCTGTGGGGGTATTATTGCTGTGGAGCTCTGTTACTGGGGTATTATTGCTGTGGAGCTCTGTTACTGGGGGTATTATTGCTGTGGAGCTCTGTTACTGGGAGTATTATTGCTGTGGAGCTCTGTTACTTGGAGTATTATTGCCGTGGAGCTCTGTTACTGGGGGTATTATTGCTGTGGAGCTCTGTTACTTGGAGTATTATTGTGTGGAGCTCTGTTACTGGGGAGTATTATTGCTGTGGAGCTCTGTTACTTGGGTATTATTGTGTGGAGCTCTGTTACTGGGAGTATTATTAGTGTGGGGCTCTGTTACTTGGGTATTATTGTGTGGAGCTCTGTTACTGGGAGTGTTGACTGGGGGTATTATTGTTGTGGAGCTCTGTTACTGGGTATTATTGCTGTGGAGCTCTGTTACTGGGGGTATTATTATGTGGAGCTGTTACTGGGCTGGGGGTATTATTGTGTGGATTACTGGGGGTATTATTGAGCTCTGTTACTGGTATATTGCTGTGGAGATCTGTTAATTGGAGTATTATTGCTGTGGAGCTCTGTTAATGGGAGTATTATTGCTGTGGAGCTCTGTTACTGGGGGTATTATTGCTGTGGAGCTCTGTTAATGGGCGTATTATTGCTGTGGAGCTCTGTTACTGGGGGTATTATTGCTGTGGAGCTCTGTTAATGGGGGTATTATTGCTGTGGAGTTCTGTTACTGGGGATATTATTGCTGTGGAGCTCTGTTACTGGGGGTATTATTGCTGTGGAGCTCTGTTAATTGGAGTATTATTGCTGTGGAGCTCTGTTAGTGGGGGTATTATTGCTGTGGAGCTCTGTTACTGGGAGTATTATTGCTGTGGAGCTCTGTTAATGGGGGTATTATTGCTGTGGAGCTCTGTTACTGGGAGTATTATTGCTGTGGAGCTCTGTTACTGGGGGTATTATTGCTGTGGAGCTCTGTTACTTGGAGTATTATTGCTGTGGAGCTCTGTTACTGGGGGTATTATTGCTGTGGAGCTCTGTTACTTGGAGTATTATTGCTGTGGAGCTCTGTTACTGGGGGTATTATTGCTGTGGAGCTCTGTTACTGGGAGTATGATTGCTGTGGAGCTCTGTTAATTGGAGTATTATTGCTGTGGAGCTCTGTTAATTGGAGTATTATTGCTGTGGAGCTCTGTTACTGGGGGTATTATTGCTGTGGAGCTCTGTTAATTGGAGTATTATTGCTGTGGAGCTCTGTTAATGGGGGTATTATTGCTGTGGAGCTCTGTTACTGGGGGTATTATTGCTGTGGAGCTCTGTTAATTGGAGTATTATTGCTGTGGAGCTCTGTTAATGGGGGTATTATTGCTGTGGAGTTCTGTTACTGGGGATATTATTGCTGTGGAGCTCTGTTAATGGGGGTATTATTGCTGTGGAGCTCTGTTACTGGGAGTATTATTGCTGTGGAGCTCTGTTACTGGGGGTATTATTGCTGTGGAGCCTGTTACTGGGGTATTATATTAAGGTGGAGCTCTGTTTAATTGAGTATTGCTGTGGAGCTCTGTTACTGGGGGTATTATTGCTGTGGGAGCTCTGTTACTGGGAGTATTATTGCTGTGGAGCTCTGTTACTGGGGGTATTATTGCTGTGGAGCTCTGTTACTGGGGGTATTATTGCTGTGGAGCTCTGTTAATTGGAGTATTATTGCAGAGCTCTGTTAATGGGGGTTTTATTGCTGTGGAGTTCTGTTACTGGGGATATTATTGCTGTGGAGCTCTGTTAATGGGGGTATTATTGCTGTGGAGCTCTGTTACTGGGAGTATTATTGCTGTGGAGCTCTGTTAATGGGGGTATTATTGCTGTGGAGCTCTGTTACTGGGGGTATTATTGCTGTGGAGCTCTGTTACTGGGGGTATTATTGCTTTGGAGCTCTGTTACTGGGGGTATTATTGCTGTGGAGCTCTGTTACTGGGGGTATTATTGCTGTGGAGCTCTGTTACTGGGAGTATTATTGCTGTGGAGCTCTGTTACTGGGGGTATTATTGCTGTGGAGCTCTGTTACTGGGGGTATTATTGCTGTGGAGCTCTGTTAATTGGAGTATTATTGCTGTGGAGCTCTGTTAATGGGAGTATTATTGCTGTGGAGTTCTGTTACTGGGGATATTATTGCTGTGGAGCTCTGTTAATGGGGGTATTATTGCTGTGGAGCTCTGTTACTGGGAGTATTATTGCTGTGGAGCTCTGTTACTGGGATTATTATTGCTGTGGAGCTCTGTTAATGGGGGTATTATTGCTGTGGAGCTCTGTTACTGGGAGTATTATTGCTGTGGAGCTCTGTTACTGGGGGTATTATTGCTGTGGAGCTCTGTTACTTGGAGTATTATTGCTGTGGAGCTCTGTTACTGGGGGTATTATTGCTGTGGAGCTCAGTTACTTGGAGTATTATTGCTGTGGAGCTCTGTTACTGGGGGTATTATTGCTGTGGAGCTCTGTTACTGGGAGTATGATTGCTGTGGAGCTCTGTTAATTGGAGTATTATTGCTGTGGAGCTCTGTTACTGGGAGTATGATTGCTGTGGAGCTCTGTTACTGGGGGTATTATTGCTGTGGAGCTCTGTTACTGGGGGTATTATTGCTGTGGAGCACTGTTAGTGGGGTTATTATTGCTGTGGAGATCTGTTACTGGGAGTATTATTGCTGTGGAGCTCTGTTACTGGGAGTATTATTGCTGTGGAGCACTGTTAGTGGGAGTATTATTGCTGTGGAGCTCTGTTACTGGGAGTATTATTGCTGTGGAGCTCTGTTACTGGGAGTATTATTGCTGTGGAGCTCTGTTACTGGGGGTATTATTGCTGTGGAGCTCTGTTACTGGGAGTATTATTGCTGTGGAGCTCTGTTACTGGGGGTATTATTGCTGTGGAGCTCTGTTACTTGGAGTATTATTGCTGTGGGGCTCTGTTACTTGGAGTATTATTGCTGTGGAGCTCTGTTACTGGGGGTATTATTGCTGTGGAGCTCTGTTACTGGGAGTATGATTGCTGTGGAGCTCTGTTAATTGGAGTATTATTGCTGTGGAGCTCTGTTAATTGGAGTATTATTGCTGTGGAGCTCTGTTAATGGGGGTATTATTGCTGTGGAGCGCTGTTACTGGGAGTATTATTGCTGTGGAGCTCTGTTACTGGGGGTATTATTGCTGTGGAGCTCTGTTACTGGGAGTATTATTGCTGTGGAGCGCTGTTAATGGGGGTATTGTGGCAAACCTAGCCACTTACAGAATGTCCTTGTATATATCTTGCTATTACTGCATTGCTATTCCTATCTGTGGCCAAACCAGTGGCCAAACCAGCCGCTTAAAGTGTAACCCCCCCCTGAATGTAATATGATGTAAAGTGTATCCCTGTGTACTGCTTGGTATCTCCTAAGGCGGGAGATGGCTATCTGTAACCCAACCCCCTCCTGCCTGGGACTAAGGGAAGTGTATTGTGTGGAATGCAGACCCCCCTGCGGAGGTCTGTGCTAAAAGGAAGATGTAATCATTAAAGAGTTTTTGACTCAGCCTGGTGAGATGCCAGTGTTTTAACCTCCAAGCTATGTGTCGTCTAGTTCTTAGGAGAAAAGGATTGTAACTACGCTACCTGCATTTTACCTGCTTCATCCTGCCTACCAGCGGAGATACCGTGGATAATACCACTACTCCGCTACAATTGGTGGCAAGCGACGGGATTCAAACCACACAGCAAAGCAGCGTTCGGCAGGGATTGATGTGAGCAGAGGAAAAGAAACAGCAATTCGTGAAACAACCATTCGGATGAAACCGGAGTTCGGGAATAAGTGGAATCATACGAACAGCAGGTGAATGGAAACGAATTATGCACTTTTGAAACGGAGTACACTGAAGGAATTACTAGAGGCAAGGGGAACAATAGCCAGCAACAAGACAAAGGCTACCCTTATTGCTGAGCTCATGGAAGGAGACAGAGCAGCGGCTGCTGCAGCACCTCCAATGGAGGAAGAGCAAACAGAATTTCAGAAAGAGTTCAGGAGCAGGATGGCACTGTACCCAACCACACCACCCCAAGAGACTTTCGATAGGATCATGGCAGATGTGCAAGAATACATCATGGCCAAACGATTCCAACAAAACCTGCAATCCAGAGAGGGGTCACCGGCTCCACCCAGCATTGTACAGGGAAAACCCAAAATTCCCTACCAAGCCTTTAAAAACTTTACGGACACAGAGGGCGATATTGATGGATATTTGCAGGACTTTGAAAGACTGTGCCAGCTGCATGATATTGGGCCCCAAGACCAGGTACCACTGCTGGCCGGTAGATTATCTGGCCGCGCAGCAGAAGCCTACCGGGCAGTGCCTGATGAGGATAGCAGAGACTACCAGAAGGTAAAGCAGGCCATCCTAGTCCGATATGCCATTACCCCCGAGGCATACCGACTCCAATTCCGGGACCTGCAAAAACAAGAAAAGGACTCCCACGCAGAGTTTGCGCACCGCTTACAACGAGCAGCCACGGGGTGGATTGATGCGGCGCAAGCCACTACCCGGGAAGATCTCATTCAATTACTTTTGTTGGAACAGTTCTACCGGAGACTAACTACTGATATGCAGAACTGGGTAAGAGATCGTAAACCACGCACCTTACAAGACGCGGCCAAATTAGCGGACGAACATCAAGACACCAGACGAGAGCAGCGCCCACCAACCAGGGTATTCCCCCAGTCGACACACCACAGGCCTGCCTTGGCCGAAACAGCTCACCCACGATCTGGGGGAGCTAACAACCAATACCAACCTAGGTACCCCAACCGGGTACACATCAGATGCCACACCTGCAACCAACTGGGGCATGTACAACGAGAATGCCCCCGAAACAGGGCACGACCATCATGGCCCAACCAAGGCCAACCTCCAGGCACTCGGGCTGCGGTACACTGCTATCAGAATGAATCATTCATCCAGCCCTCCACAGCCACCCAGGTAGAGGAACCTCTAGGCACTCTCCATGAAGTTAACCCCGTCCAAGCGGTGTCCGATAACCGCCAAAGCCATCGCCAAGTCGTCCACATAGAAGGGAAGCCTATGGAGGGACTGAGAGATTCCGGGGCCACCATCACCTTGGTCCGAAACCACCGTGTTCCAAAGAACCAGCTTACGGGGGATTGTGTAGCAGTACGGGTGGCAGGGGGAGCGATCTACAAGGTTCCCACTGCCAGGATACATTTGAATTGGGGAGCGGGGTCAGGGAACGTGGAGGTGGGGATGATGCAAGACTTGCCCGCAGATGTTATTTTGGGAAATGACTTGGGGGAGCTCACTTCCGCTTTTGTTCCGCGAACCACCGTACAGGAAGCTTACCCAGTCATCACCAGGCTGCAGGCCCGCACCACGGTCCCATCCAGTGACTCTGAGGCTCAGGTAAGCAATGAACCCCATAACCACACTGCCCTCCCCGGGGATGCCCCCCTAGAATTTGGTAGCGAGGTCGCTCTAGACCCGTCCCTGCAGGTTTACAAAGACCGAATTGACAAGAACCAGGCAGGCTTAGAAGGAGAGAGATATGCTTGGGATCAAGGGTTATTATACCGGTATGCAGAGAAGGTAGTAGCCGGGTCTATTCCCATACCCATAAAGCAGTTAATTGTGCCTCGAAAGTATAGACAGGAGTTACTGCGCATAGCGCATGACATACCCTTATCCGGTCATTTAGGGATCAGCCGAACTAAACATCGGCTGACGCAGAACTTCTTCTGGCCAGGTATCTCCAAGGATATTAGGCAATACTGTAACACCTGTGATACCTGCCAGAGGGTAGGGAAGAGGGGAGACCGCTACAAAGCCAAACTCCATTCCCTGCCCATAATAGAAGAGCCCTTTAGTAGAGTAGCAGTGGACATAATCGGACCCCTGAAAAAACCCAGTCCCTCTGGCAAGAAGTACATCTTGACCGTAGTGGACTACGCCACTAGATACCCCGAGGCGGTGGCTCTAACGAATGTACATGCAGAGACCGTAGCAGATGCCCTTATGCGAATTTTCTCCCGCATGGGATTCCCACGGGAGATTATTTCGGATAGGGGTACCCAATTCACTGCAGAGGTCACCCACCAGCTCTGGAAGGTCTGTGGGGTAAAGTCTATCCTTAACTCACCCTACCACCCTCAATCCAACGGTCTCTGTGAACGGTTTAACGGAACACTTAAGCAGATGATCCGGATGTTCATAGACACGCAGAAGGACTGGGAGAGGTTTTTACCCCACTTGCTGTTCGCCTATAGGGAAGTTCCCCAAGAATCCACTGGGTTCTCTCCCTTTGAATTATTGTTCGGAAGGAGGGTGAGGGGCCCCCTAGATTTAATCAGAGAGCACTGGGAGGGGGGAGTGACCACTAATGGTACCCCTATTGTACCCTATGGGCTCGAGTTCCGGGAACGCTTGGAGGCTTTGACCCAGACCGTACGTACCAACCTCCAAGCGGCCCAGCAACGACAGCGCAGATGGTATGATAGGGGGGCCAGGGACCGCAGCTTTCAGGTCGGGCAGAAGGTGCTAATCCTACGACCCGTCCCTAATGACAAGCTGCAGGCCTCCTGGCAGGGCCCATTCAAGGTGGTAGAGCAAATCTGTGATACCACCTATGTAATTGGCCCATGCGCTGGAGCAGGGGGCAGACGCATGCTCCATGTGAACATGCTGAAGCCTTACCACGAGCGCACAGAGGAGGTGACCGCGATTTGTGCTTCCGCTGCAGAGGATTTTGATAATTTGCCCCTCCCAGACCTCCTAGAGAAAGAAGACAAAAATGAGGATCTGGAAGCAGTACAGCTAGGGGAGCGCTTGAGTCCCCAGGAGCGGGCCCAGGCCCAAAGCTTAATTAGGGAAAAAGGGGCCACCTTTTCTAACCTCCCTGGGTATACCCCGTTAGCCACCCACCGTGTAGAAACCCCAGGGCAGACACCCCTCCGCCAACCTCCTTACCGCATCCCCGAGTCTGTAAAAGAGAATATGCGTAAGGAGCTCAAGGAAATGTTACAATTGGGGGTTATAGAACCTTCTGATAGCCCATGGGCCTCCCCAGTAGTTCTGGTGCCGAAGCGGGATGGAACTACCCGCTTCTGCATAGACTATCGAAGGCTCAATGATAAGACAGTATCTGATGCCTACCCTATGCCCCGGATAGACGAGCTCCTAGACAAAATGGCCAGGGGCCAGTACCTCACCACGATAGACCTTTGTAAGGGCTATTGGCAAATTCCTTTAGCCGAGGACGCCATCCCTAAGTCGGCGTTTGTAACCCCGTTCGGCCTGTACCAGTTTAAGGTCATGCCATTCGGGATGAGAAACGCTCCGGCTACCTTTCAGAGGATGGTGGATCGGCTATTGGATGGGTTCCAGGAGTACGCTTGCGCCTATTTAGACGACATAGCAATCTTCAGCCATTCCTGGACCGAACACCTGACCCATATAGGAGCCGTACTAGACCGCATTAGGGAGGCAGGGTTAACCCTTAAACCCAGTAAGTGCCATATAGGGATGGCTGAAGTTCAGTATTTAGGGCACCGGGTAGGAAGCGGCCAGCAAAAGCCAGAACCCGCCAAGGTAGAGGCCGTAGCCAAATGGCCAACACCGCGTACCAAAATCCAGGTCCTGGCGTTCTTAGGTACCGCAGGGTACTATCGGAAGTTTGTGCCCGATTACAGCACCCTGGCCAAACCCCTCACCGATTTAACCCGCAAAAACCTCCCTAAGTTAGTAGAATGGGCCCCAGAGTGTGAACGAGCATTCCAGCAACTAAAAACTGCTCTTGTTAACGCACCTGTACTTGCTGCTCCTGATCCAACAAAACGTTTTCTCGTCCATACAGACGCTTCTATGTTTGGATTGGGGGCAGTACTGAGCCAAGTCGGAGCAGATGGCGGTGAGCATCCAGTGGCTTACTTAAGCAGAAAACTTTTACCCCGGGAAGTAAGCTACGCCGCCATCGAAAAGGAATGCCTGGCCGTGGTGTGGGCCCTCAAGAAGCTGCAGCCCTATTTGTACGGACAACCATTCTCGCTAGTCACAGATCACAACCCGTTGGTGTGGCTGAACCGGGTGTCAGGGGACAATGCCAGGCTGCTGCGCTGGAGTTTGGCGCTGCAGCCTTTTGACTTTACCATCCACTACCGCCCTGGGAAGCAAAATGGCAATGCCGATGGGTTATTCAGACAAACTGAACTTGAAAAGTGATCTGTGAGTACTCCTCCGGACATCCCCAAGCCGATCCGTTGGGATCAGACTGTGTATGCCGGCTTGGTTCTGGGGGAGCATTGTGGCAAACCTAGCCACTTACAGAATGTCCTTGTATATATCTTGCTATTACTGCATTGCTATTCCTATCTGTGGCCAAACCAGCCACTTAAAGTGTAACCCCCCCCTGAATGTAATATGATGTAAAGTGTATCCCTGTGTACTGCTTGGTATCTCCTAAGGCGGGAGATGGCTATCTGTAACCCAACCCCCTCCTGCCTGGGACTAAGGGAAGTGTATTGTGTGGAATGCAGACCCCCCTGCGGAGGTCTGTGCTAAAAGGAAGATGTAATCATTAAAGAGTTTTGACTCAGCCTGGTGAGATGCCAGTGTTTTAACCTCCAAGCTATGTGTCGTCTAGTTCTTAGGAGAAAAGGATTGTAACTACGCTACCTGCATTTTACCTGCTTCATCCTGCCTACCAGCGGAGATACCGTGGATAATACCACTACTCCGCTACAGGTATTATTGCTGTGGAGCTCTGTTACTGGGGGTATTATTGCTGTGGAGCTCTGTTACTGGGAGTATTATTGCTGTGGAGCTCTGTTACTGGGGGTATTATTGCTGTGGAGCTCTGTTACTGGGGGTATTATTGGTGGAGTATTATTGCTGTGGAGCTCTGTTACTGGGGGTATTATTGCTGTGGAGCTCTGTTACTGAGCTGTGGAGCTCTGTTACTGGGGGTATTATTGCTGTGGAGCTCTGTTACTGGGAGTATTATTGCTGTGGAGCTCTGTTACTGGGGGTATTATTGCTGTGGAGCTCTGTTAATTGGAGTATTATTGCTGTGGAGCTCTGTTAATTGGAGTATTATTGCTGTGGAGCTCTGTTACTGGGGGTATTATTGCTGTGGAGCTCTGTTAATTGGAGTATTATTGCTGTGGAGCTCTGTTAATGGGGGTATTATTGCTGTGGAGCTCTGTTACTGGGAGTATTATTGCTGTGGAGCTCTGTTAATGGGGGTATTATTGCTGTGGAGCTCTGTTACTGGGGGTATTATTGCTGTGGAGCTCTGTTACTGGGGGTATTATTGCTGTGGAGCTCTGTTACTTGGGGTATTATTGCTGTGGAGCTCTGTTACTGGGGGTATTATTGCTG